GCGATAACGGTACGGGAGGAAAAGGAAACGGGGTCGGCGCTACCGATACCGATCCACGCAAGATGCGTCTGTCGAGCGTTATTAATTAACCTGATAGGGTGATTAACGATCGTAGCCGCGTACCACAGCGCGTCTTTCATCGGGATCGATTAATGCCTTCACCGAATTGCCTGCTTTTCGCGGAATAATCCTCGAACAATTGGGGCACAGCTCGCCTTCCTCCCTTCGATCGAATACATCGAATGTAACGAGGGAGGATTATCGTATTATTTTACTTTAAATTATAACTATTGAATAACGAAGATAAAATCAGATTACTGGAAAATGATTAATTTGGAAGTAATGGATATTGTGAAATATTCTTTCGAAATTATACTCCACGATTAAATTATACATTGGAAGATAGAGATACACGAAAATTATTACTAATGTAACGAGGATAATAGAATTGTCGTATTTTTACCTTAAATCGTAACGCAATTATCAGATTACTGAAAAGTGGTTAATTTGGAAGTAAATTTTATGATCAAAGATTTTTCAGAAATCCAAAAAAAAAAAAAAAATGTTAAATTATATCTTGGATACATTGGAAGATAGAAAATATTTATTAATAATCGGTACAAGTAGCTGCTATCATATCGATCGAGACGATCGGATGTTCTTATGCAAGCTGTTCCGAGAAATCGAAAGAAGGACGCGCGAGTGACGATTTCGAGGCTGGTTTCGAGTTCGGGGATATTGGATCGGAGAACGATAATAATTACTCCCGCGCCGTCTGTCACGAGCGATCGATAACTCGCCGGCAATTAACTTTGAAAAATCGTCTCGAGTCACGTACGATCCGGTTTCCAAAGGATCACCCCTCCCCTTTTCCCCTCCTCTCTTTTTCTTCGCTTAACCCGCCCCGCGATATTAGATTCCCGCGGACGAAAACGATCAGCGCGCCACCTGCCTTCGTTGTTGCGCCTTGCCAGTGAAAAATGGAAGGATTATTGATCTTTATTCGATCCCCTTAAAGCGAATTTATACTTTTACTTTAATTTGCGAATGAATTTCACACACCGATATTTAATTTGGATAAAACGTCGATTGGAGGTGTATTATTCGTAAATGATAAACAAAAAGTAAGTTACCAAATACTATAAATATATCTTAAATTAGAACGAAGACCTAACCTCAATCTCGGATATTTACACTTGATTTGGACCGATTTTGGATCCTGGGAAAGAGAACGAGGAGAAGGCTGGGTGGGTTTTTCTCTGGGAATAAAATTGGCCGGGAATAAAGCTGGACGAGAAGGATCGTGCGGCGGGCAAACGAGCGACTGCTCAACCGGGACACCCGTGCACGCATTGTTGAGCGATTAGGCGGTTGGAACTGCGTAGGATATTCCCCTCGGGAGGCGGCCTTGATCGAATTGGCCGCGAGAAGACTGGTTCCGTGGAATCACGCGAGACTAGAGAGCTAGTAGGAGAACAATCGAAAACCTCTTGTTCAATTGTCCCCTAAACGCAATGCGAGAAAATGCATCGGTCCGCGTATGTCCGATACAGAGATTATTTACTTATGAATTTACCAATTTTAATTCGAAATCTCGTGCATAAGCAAGAGATCAACAACTCTGTTAAGGGGATTCGGATTATCATCGAAGGTTGAGCTCCAAGTCTTCGACTAACAACTGCATTAATTCTTGGGGCTTCTTTATAAAATAAAATTATTCCAGAAATCGTAAGAGTGTAGAATTGTCGTTCTGTACTCTATCATTTGTTCTTCCATTTATCGTACGTGTCTCTGCACGTACAGATCCATTTTAAATTTTATATATTCACAATTCTTGGCCAGTCTTTCTTAAAAATCGTACTCACAGCGAATGGCAAAGAATTGTCGAATCGAAGATAAGAGATTGGTAGTGTAATGGTGGTTCGCAGGGGTGGCAAGGGTGGGGGCGACACCGAGCCCCGCGAGAGGCAGCCCGGGAACCGGTTGCCTTCGAGGAGGCACACAACCGTGGACACTGACGGATATGACATTTCTGAAGTTCGTGGCCATCTACGTTTCATCCTCTCGTTCGTTTTGCACGCTGCCCAACTTTGCCCTCCCCTCCGCGCACCGCTCCTTCGACGTCGTCCCCCCTTCACTTTACCTTTTATTTCGATTCGATTTTTCTGCCGGTCTTGTTCCCTTATTATCTCGTTTTGCTCGTCTCTGGCCCACGTCACTTTCTCTCTCTCTCTCTCTCTCTCTTTCCTCGCCCCTTCCTCCTCCTGCCCTCCTCCTGTCCTCCTGCCTCGCGCGTCGATTTTATTTTTCCCTCTCCAAACCTGGTCTCTCCGGTCCCTCCGCCGAAGGGAGGCTCCTCTTCCTTTCCACCACGCCACGCTCGTGCTTTTATTTCCTGTCGGCCTTCTTGCCGCCCCTTTTTCGTCCGCGCAGCACCGCGGCTCCTCTTTCACTTGTTGTTCTCGCGTCATCCTCCAAATTGAACGCTCTGTCCAAATCGATTTTGTCCCTGGATACGTTCTCGATTTTAATTTGATTCTTCGAGAGAGAGGAGAGAATTCACCATCGTTTTGAAATTTGAAAAATTTATCTCTTTAGAATATTCGATTGGGGTGTGTATATATATATATATGATACGAATGATCTGATTCGCAAAATTCCGCGATGCAAAGAAACTCCAAAATCTTCGGCCACCTCTTAAATTGCGGATTAATTATTCGAAAACTCGTTTCGTTGGGCAGAGGTCGGTTTAATAACCATTAGAGCCAGAAGACCTCGGACGATTTTCACCCCCACGTGTTGTGTAGGCCGGCGGGCGCGAGAAAGGTGAAAGGCTGGACGCGGCGAGGGTGTGAAAGATCTAGAGCAGATAGGGGGCCTCTATATTGATGAGCTGGCTCTCTCCGCGTATTGATTCCACGGCAGAGGGGTTTCGCCGGGGCCCGGAGCACCCTGCAGACCCCTTTTGCTACGCGCCAACCCCGATAAGATCGGTCAGATAAGCCATGATTACACACCGCGTCGAGCCACCCCCTCCCTCTCGCGTTTTTCTCTCCACCCTTCGTATCGCCCACCGACTGTGTAAACAGTCTTCCACGTTGATGGTTGGCTTCGTTTTTTCAGTCTTCAATGGGGCGACCAGAAGTCCAGTATCGAATTCCCATGTAATTAATTATCCATTGATTTGGATCAATCAAAATTTTTATTGCGTTTGCTCAAAGAATTTTATTATTTTTATGTTTTTCCGGATCAGAAATTGTTCGAGTCGAGGAAAAATTTATCTGTGCTATTAGTTTATATAATTTACGTAATATATCTTTATTACGAGGTAAATAAATATAAGGATATATACGAAAAATCGACGAATTCGTATAGATTATATCAATTGTAACAATAACATCGTGATTATGTTCCAATATAGAATGAATTGTATTTGTTTAAATAATTATTGTATTACTTTTTTCTTTTTGGATCATAAATCTCTAAATGTTATGTTTGTAATTTTTTTAAATCCCTATCCTTAAATTTTTATAAAATGATTCGCAGATTATTTGATTACAATAAGAGAATTATCTGTCTTAATATTAACAAATTCCCCAATCCCCAAGATTAAAATTTGTATATTTAAAATACAGATCATTAATTCTGGACCACACGGTTAAAAAAAGCCGTTGTCACAATCCATATATAGATACTTCTACTTATCCACGTATCCAATACGTAATGCAAGTTAAAAATGGCGCACTTCATCAACATACTTCATCCGACAGCGCCCTCTATCCCACCGTTCCATCGAAAAAAGAAAGATACTCGAAAACGGTTACATCGTGCCGACAATGCAAAGGGGGCACGTCCCGCCTCGTCCTCGAGCACTCTCGAGCGAAAGATACGTCAGAGACAGCGAAGAAAAAGAGGGAAAACAGGACATTTTATATTCGTGGACACGCGCTCGAGAGATTCATTGTGACGAGTTCACAAAGAGGGGTGCAATTTCGATGGCGAGTTTTTCGCTCAAACAGCTTTCAATCGGTTTTCCATTAGAAGAACTTCCCCCTCTCCCTTCCGCCTGCGCGGCGACAATGCGCACGACCTGATCTCTTTTCTCCGCGCTGAGAGGAGGTTAAGTGGCCGGTGAATGGAAACTATCGAAGGAAGAAGCTTCCTACGTGAAAAGTTGCGAGAAGTGGGTCCATGGAATTTGTATAAGTGGTAACTGTCGAGACGGAAATGAGGCGAGGTATACCTTCGTCGATGGGGAAACAGGTGTAGAGAGAAGATGGGATCCTTTCACGATCCCCGGGTCAGGTATGAACACGGGCTCGCGTTTCCAATCCTCTGAACCCGGGGGATTAAGGGCGGCCGATTTCACGCGATCCCGGCTCTTCTCGTGGCTTCTTGATTCTGGAAGCTGTTCGATTCTTCTTCCATGAATAACTCTGTGGGTTAGAAAAACTGGGAAGAAATCTTTGGAAAGTGTTGTGAAGAGGTTATGAAGAGGTTATGAAGACATAAATATTTATTCGCGCTTGCGTCTTCGATCCTTTTTGCTATTTGAACAATAGTGTAGAACGGTGTGTAGTGTAAATATTTGTGTATCGTTAAACGTTGTGTAATTAATGTGGCAATTTGTCAGAGACAACAAATTTTAATAGTTTAAGTGCCGAGTACAATAGCGTTTTGCATTCTGATGTGAAATTTTGTCTTGCAAGTCGCCTACGTAATATAAATATAATATGGAAACATAACCTATTTTATAAGACAGAATTTCTGGTAGACTCTATTTCGTAAATTAGACGGTTTTGATCAGGATATAAAGCATCTTTATATATTATTTTTTAATGGAACATAATGATCTTTAGAGACAAAAGGGTTAACTCGAACGAAACCATTCAGATTATTAGATAAAACCGAGTCGTTCTTTAAATATTTTCGAAATTGGAACGACTCGGTTTCCAATACGTTACAGGTGTGATATCTGTGTGTTTTCTTTTCCAAAACTGTCGCTGCAGAGTGCGGCGAGGCGGGCGGGCACCAGCTGTGCCAACTGCAAGACCGCGACCACCACGCTCTGGCGAAGGAATCAGGCCGGAGAGCCAGTCTGCAACGCGTGCGGCCTCTATTACAAACTGCACAACGTAAGTAATCGATCATACATAACCTCCATCATAGACGTTTTCTCGGCTGGATCCCTAGCCACGACTAATGAACCAGTCTTTCGATCGGATTCGAGCAATGAATCCTCTTAAATACATTTCGGTATATGTATAGTAAAAATTGGATTACTGCTCGACAATTGTAATGGAATTGATTCTTATAGTTTAATTAGAGTTTGAATTTTTTTTATGCATATAGGATATTAATATATTTAGAGAATTGATTCTGGAAGCGAAATCGCAATATGGCAAAGATAAAGATTATCTACAATCAAATTACAATTTAACGAATAATTCTCAATTGATACTTTTGTATTTGTTTTTTTCTTTAGAATTAACCCTCCAAAATATATTAACATTCTATGTGTGTGTAAAAGCGTACAGTTATCCAATTTTTACCATCCATGTAACTAAATCCATGTCTCTTGAAATATCGTTTGGGTCTTTTTGAATTTCTTTAAAAAGAGATCCGCGGGTATATGGCATTTCATTTATCGGGGGACTTCCGTTCGGAATCGGAGCGAACGATCGAAAGCGGAAGATCCGTGCCACTCGATACAATGTTTTCGAGGAGGGAGAGGCCGACAAAGGGACTCGGGTATTAAACGGTGGATACGAGATCCGGCGAATGAAAGCAGTTCTTCGATAAACAGCAGAGGCAAAAGGTCGTTTCTTTGGCCACCGTCGAAGCCACTGATCGTAAACCGGCCCGTGTAACGTAATATCGGATCGCTATTGTCGCGGCGAGCCTCTCTCGAGCATCCATTGTCGTACCGTGGAACCTAATTCCTCGATCCTCTTTCTTCTCTACGACCACAATCTACTCGCATTCTTCGCGACTTTCCTCTCTGAAATCGTTGCAATTGTCGTGTCCTCGAATGTGTCTGGAATAGACACTAGCCAAATGTTTCTCATTCGGACTTTAATACGTTTCACTAGTTCCGATGGTTGCCGCCGGATGTCTTTATTTTCTCGCAAGTAAACATTTTTAGTCTAATTCATATATATCAGTACCAAATTGTGATACATAAACGAGACGAATTATAATTATAGTTATTTCCAACGCATAACTGCTTTACAATTTATAATTTGAAAATAATTCGATAATTCATCCTCGTTATTAAAAATTCCATTGTGTAAGAGATAAATCCGATAAAAACAACTGCTGGTTCGAAGTAAATGTTATCCCAAATCGAAGCGTCTCTCGTTTGTTTTCGATAAACTCGAGCGGGATTGCCACTCGAGCCCTTCCGTCTACGCGATTCGACCCTCTGTTGTGCCAACAATTAGGGTGTTCTGTGGAGTCGGCGGACGTGCGAAGAGTGTCGCCAGAGACGATGAGGCGGGGGTGGAGCGTGCTCAACGGCGTGTGACACAGGAAGCAGCAGAGGAAGACAAAGGGAGGAGGGAAAAACGGACATCCTGCTGGGAGTTTTTCTCAGGAACTCGGCGTATTTCACGCGGAGAGAAGAACGATCGCTTGCGGAAATCTTCGTCGTGGATTATGGGTGGGCGTCGACCTCGATAGCTCTCGCTGCGCTACATCCGCTATAATTCCTCGTGGACGAGGATTGTCTCTCGGTTTTCCTTTATCCTTCCTCTCGAGTTTTCGCGGGTCAAAAATAAATTTCTCTCGCGGGATCTTGATAAGATTCCGTTTGTTGCAGCTCGCCTAATTGGCCCACGATGACACAACGGGTCCCACTGTCCTCTCCTCCCGGCACTCCAAGCAAATGGTCCGTTCGAATTTACGCGGCTTTTTCCTCCTACTCTCTACCGGCTTATCGGCCTATGTCGATCTGCGCTTCGAAGACAGACGCGCAACGTATCGCTGAGTACGGTGCACCGCTCCCGACTACTACTCGCTTCCAAGCAATTGTTGCACGAATTCTCTGCATCAATTTAACACTTTTATCGTTGTAATATTTACATATAATTTTCCAATGCTTAACTAAATTTAAACGAGGATTGAATCGTTATTAAATTAGAGAGTTTAAATAAATTGAATTTTTTCAGATCGATCAAGATGCGAATTTGGAAAACGAAAGAGTAGAAATTTTTTTTTTAAAGCGGTATCAAAATTCGGCCACGATTACAAGCAAAGAATGGACTCGTTAATTATTCGAAGGAATAATTCCATTACTCGATCGAATCGGCTCGTCCAATAATTTTACGAAGAAATAACGAGTCCTCGTTTATTTCACCTCGACTCCCCCTCAACCTTCTCATCCCATTACCCTCGAAAGGGTTAAAGGCTACAAGATCCCGATTCGCGTTTCCTCGTGACGTTTATCTGGCGAGAATCAGGGTGTAGGGAGGGAGGGAGGGTGGCGCGAGGCGAGCAGAGTGACCAACAGCGACTTACCAGCAAGCGACATCCTCGCGTTGGTTAATGCCGGGCATAAAGGCCGGGCCCAGACACGTTTCCTGGTAATCATTAATTAAGCGTAGGGCTCCCTTCCGCCCCGCCTAGCGACATGGGACGTCGTGCACGCTCCACCAACAGAGAGAATAAATTCGGATACTCTCCTCTCTCTCTCTCTCTCTCTCTTTCTCTTCAGATTCTTTTCTCTCTCTCTCTCTCTCTCTTTATCTCTGGAAGAGAAACGAGACGAAAACGCGCGAAACTCATCGCACCATTTCTTCCCTCGAGTTGTGTTCCTGGGGAAGGAACAGTCGAGAGGAGGATCGCTCCTCGGGTAAGCTGTGGAATAGGCGACTGTCTTGGGTGACGTTAAGCCGACACGTTACAGTCTCCGAATCTCTTCCCCTACGGCCACGTCGAACAATCGGACGGCGAGGATTAACCAGGGGTCCCTGCACTCGTCCAAGGTTCTTCCCTCTCGAACG